GCCACATTCCTTACATTTGTAAGGTTTCTCTCCAGTATGGATTCTGTAATGGTTTTTAAGTCTAGATAACCGAGAAAAGCACTTACCACATTCCTCACATTTGTAAGGTTTCTCTCCAGTATGGACTCTGTAATGGTTTTTAAGTCTAGATAATCGAGAAAAGCCCTTATCACACTCATTACATTTGTAAGGTTTCTCTCCAGTATGGATTCTGCAGTGGGTTTTAAGGTGAGATAACCACTTAAAAGACTTACTGCATTCTTTACATTTCCATGGTTTCTCTCCAATAGGAAGTCTGTCATGTGTGCTGAGGCTTGAACAGCATTTCCCACAATTGTGTGCTTTGTCTTCACTAGGGATTCTTTGCTGAACAAGTCTGTGTGCAGAACCCAGAAGTTTATCACTTTCTGCATATTTGTGTTCTATCTTTACAGTGTGGATACTCTGATTTAGACTATTATTGGAACATAAACATTTGCCACAGTCTTTATATTTGAAGAGTTCTACTCCATTGTGCACACTTTTACATCTGTTTAGGTTTGATGAGTCAGTGGAGGCATCCCTGTGGTTGCCACATGTGTAGTTGCTGCAGTTTTCTGCAGAATCACTTGTGTCATAAGGTATACACTGGGAGGATTCGTGAAGCATTTTGCCAAGCTGATTATACTTGAAAGATTTCTCTTGGATAGTAACATGTTGATGTATAATATAGTTTGAGTCTTGATCCAAGACCTTCTCGTATTTACCACACACGCAATGGTTCTCTGGGAAATGAGCACAATTAGAGATAACAGGGATAAACTCATAAGTAAGATTCAATAGCTGATGGCACCTTAAGTTCTCTAAGACAAGTAATAATTATTTCTCTTGGTGGAAGGTTTTTTACTTTCCCTAGCATTATATGGATGTTGAGAACCTCCATTTTGATCTTCATCACACTGTGGGGACTGATAACAGAATTCTTATTCCTATCTAAACAGCATTACTTGTACAAGGTGTGACAAATAGATGATGAAAAAAATAAAGACCTTTCAGAAAAAAGCTCTTTGAAGGATGATATTTAAAATATCACTTTAAAATCTCTTTTCCCACAAAATAATTAATGAACAGTTTAATGCAATACTAAAATGAAAATATTCAACTTACTAAGTGTATTGGAATGCATATCTCTTCCACACATCTAACTTTAAATGTTTCATTAAAAGCTTGGTAAGATAGTCTGAGAGATGGGTCAGCAGTTAAGAGCATTTATTGTTTTCTCAGATGACTTTATACATCTATAAACCAGATAAATACAAAAGATGGAATTCTGTAAGAAAAATGTTCTCACCAACAAAGACCAGGTTGTTGTAATTCTCCAACATCACATCAATGTACAAAGCCCTCTGAGTAGAGTCCAGGTAGTCCCACTCGTCCTGGGAGAAGTCCAAAGCCACGGCCCCAAATGTTAGCAGACTCTGTAATGGATATTTAAGAATTTTACCATGTGCTGCTGGGGAGGATACCTTCCTAGATAAAAGAGGTATAGGAACCTAGGAACATTTTTGTGATGTAGATGAGGCAGGAAAATTAATTTTTTAAAAAGATTTATTCATTATATAAAGTGTTCTGCCTTCATATATACCTGCATACCAGAAGAGAGCGCCAGATCTCATTATAGATGGTTGTGAGTCACCATGTGGTAGACTGGAATTGAATTTAGAACCTCTAGAAGAGCAACCAGTACTCTTAACCTCTGAGTCATGTCTACAACCCCTGGAAAATTATTCTTTAAGATGGAATGTAGACATAGTTTAGCAGTCAAAACTACTGAACTACTGTTCGTTTTTCCAAATGCTCTGGGTTTGGTTCCCAAAACTATATGATCCAGTGCCTTTTGAAGGCATGTAAGTAGGACATAGACATACATGCAGGCTAAAATACTCATACATATAAAATTAAAATAAAATTTAATTGTATATTCTAACTTTGTGTGCTGTACAGCAGTTTCCTGAGAGTTTGAAACATTCTGCCCTGCAGAAAAACTCATTAAACAGGAAGCAAAAACTCACAACTGTCAATGAAACTGAACAAATTCCTTAGATTCCTCCCTCCTTTCGTCTCTCCCTTCCTCCCTCCCCAAGAGTATATGAAGAGTAAAGACTGCTTAAAGCCATTCTCTGACTTTGTAAGTCAAGCTGCAAAAATTTTCATATGAGCACAGACATGCCCCCCCACACACACACAAGAAGAGACCAGCCTAGCAGCCCCAGCTGAGCTGCCTAGAAGAGGCTCAGACCAAATGAGTCACCAGGAAATGATACCCTCCAACCTGTTGCACTGCTAGGAAGCAATACAGCCTGTGCCAGGTTTCCTGGATTTGTGAGATGTCATCCATGCTTGGGGATGGGCTTTGGTGATGCAGCTGTCTGAGTCATTTCTATTTCTATATAAGTAACCCTAGTAAAATTCACTAGTTCAGCAAGTTAGTAATATCCATGAAAGCTCCCTTTATGTGTGTGTGCACACTCGTGTGTGCATGTGCATCTTCCCAGTCTATCACACAATATTAAAAAAAGAATGACATAATAGTCCCACAGATGATATACTTTTAGGAAATATAAGATAAAACTTTAAGATTTAGAAATAGAAATCTACCATTTATGAAGTAGGAGTTTATGTTATATGGGTTCATAGTGTCACATTTCAGATGGAAAGTTTGTGATGACCAAAATTGTGTCTCTAAACAACTGTGTCCATTACAGCCTTTTCTCATAATCTCCAACTATGAAAAACAGTAGCTTCAGCAAAGGAGGAAAAAAGGTGGTAGGAGAGCCAGAGGAAAAGACCAGAGCAATATAACTGAGAGGCACCTTCATTTCTGCATGAAATGTGATGGCTTATGTACATTACTCAACTGACATATTCCACATGCTTTCACATAAAGACTCATAATCAGGAGAGGCTACACAATGGGTCACTGTCTGAAAAAGCACACAAAAGAAAAAGAGAACATATTAATTTCTCCAGTTTGGAAAGTTACCCCTGAGCATCAGAACCAAGAGAATGATGAGAGCAGGAATGAACTCTTCTGAGACAAATACAGATCAGGTGTCAACAAATACAGGCACATCATCACTGTGATATCAAATGCCAAAGGGAGAAACAGCAAACACAATGTGCATCTCCTTACAGAAATACCAATTTCACGGCATGATCAAGGTTCTCTGGCCTGCCATCTTCAGCACTCTCTAGAGAGTTTAAATCTTTAGTAATAGTATCCAATGTGGATCCAAATAGCACATCTTTGTGTTCTTTTCCAAAACATTATTAGAGATTCTAGCAAGGAATTCAAGGTGTTCGAATGTGCACTTTCATAAGCCTAGCTGGAAACCTGACATATCTCTCAAATGGAACCTACATGGCCCACGAGGCCTTAATAACTAATATATATACATCCTTTGTAGCGACGAAACAATATATTTGTTTGAGCACTTGTCATAATGGAAATGCAGGTCTTACTTTCATTGTGAATATTTGTCCTCACACAAAGTCTGGAGAGGACTGGAGAAATGGCTGTGGTATACAGTAGACATGTATTTAAAGAGTTAATCTCGACTACGGGCTGGGGCGGAGGGAATACATGGGAAACAAACACTTCAGATGACACTATCAGAAGCAGAGAATGAAACACTTTCCAGATGTCTTACCTAGGGTTTCTATTGCTGTCAAGAGACACCATGAGAAGGCAACTCTTAAAAAGGAGAACATTTCACTGGGGTTGGCTAACAGTTTCAGAGGTTTAGTCCATTTTTGCAATGACAGGAAAAATGGTGGCATGCAGGCAGACATGGTGTTAAAGAAGGAGCTGAGAGTTCCACATCTTGATCCACAAAGTGACACATGGCCTAGCTGGAGCACCTGAGACCTCAAAGTCCACTACCACAGTGACACACTTCTTCCAACAAGGTCACACGCAGTCCAACAATGCTACACCTCCTAGTAGTGCCGCTCCCTATGAGCCAAGCACTCAAGCACATGAGTCTATGGCAGTCATTCCCATTCAAACCACCACACAAGATTTTAATATATAACAAGTCTCAAATGAAAAAATTGAACACAACACTGACCTGGGATGTGCCTACTGGAGAAGTGGTCATTTCTGCTAGTTGCTCTGCTCTGACTTTCCGTTTCAGGAACAATGACTGGACCCCTTCTTGCTCTTTCATATCAGGTGTCAAAAATGGAAAACAAAAATTAATACGAAACTCTGTTAAGGAACAATGTCAAACCACATAAAAAGATCCAAATACCAGATGTACAGTCAATAACTCTAAAGCAAGGAGAGAATGGAAAAACATATTTAAATACCTGAAAGAAAATAACTGCCAGCCATGTTACTGCAGCCAGAAAAATGATCTCTGAAAATTAACAGAGAAGTGTGTTTGAAGACGGTCAGGAGTTAACACATGTCATTCCTCTTAAGGAGCACTGCAAATTAGAGGCAAAATATACAAAGATCAGTCAAAAAAAATTATCTATGAGACCACCGGAAATATGTGAGGAACAGAAGAAGAGAGGAGACTGGGGAGTAGCTGACTATATCTGACACACCAAACCAGAAAGCTATCAAGTTTAACAAGAAAGGAATAAAAATGTTAATTAAAATCCATCCAGCCACATCAAAAATACCACAGGGAATAAAAACCATATAATAAAAATCCCAGTAGTACCTGGAAAGGACATTTGACAAAGTTCAACAAAACCTCATAGTAAACTTCTAAACGAACTAGGGATGGGCAGTAATAGCACATGCCTTTAATTCCAACACTCAGGAGGTAGAGACAGGCAGATCACTGCAAGCTTAAGGTCCCTCTGTTCTACAGAGTGAGTTCTAGGACAACCATGGCTACACAGAAACCCTGATTTGAAAAACAAAAACTAAGAATAAATCCAGGTCAACATAATGAGAGGTACACGTGTCAACATTTATAGCAGAAAGAAAAAAATTAAAAATAGCATTACTTCAAAAACTGTATTAAAAAATACATGTGCTATGTGGTCTTACATAATAATTATAAGAGCAAGCTGAAAATTTTGATAAAACAATAAAGAATGAAGAAACAGAAGACATACAGATAAGAAAGGATGATATGATAATATACATAAAGCCTCCTTACTGACACTGTGGGAAACCCTTAGAAATGATAAATGCTTCACATAATATTGAAGAATACAGAATTATAATAGAAATGCTGCTCCTTCTTCTATGTGCCAACAATGGGACACATTGCTTTGTTAAGAAACAAAGTAAGAAAGTAACCCATTCATAGCTACTGTAAAACACTTAGGAATAGCCCAATGATGCTGGCACACGTCTTTAATTCCAGCACTCCGGAGGCAGACGCAGGTAGATCTCTGTGAGTTCGAGGCTAGGCTAGTCTACAGAGTGAGTTCCAGGACAGCCAGGGCTACAAAGAGAAACCCTGTTTCAAAAAAGAAAACCAAACCAAGCAACCAATGACCTAGGAATACGCCTAAATCACAACTTAATAAATACCTATAATGAAAATTTAGGACACTGAAGAAGAAAATGAAATTCTATGCACAGTCACTGTGAAAAGTGACGTGGGGTAAATGGCTAAATCACCAACAACTGCAGTCTACATAGTCAATGCAATCCCCACGTGCAAAACACTGACATTCTTCACAGAAGCAGTGAACACTTTCTAAAAGTTATATGCAAACAGGAAAATCACGAATATCCACATCAATCCTTGGAATAGTCCTGGGGGTATCACAGGACCTGACAGGAAAATCACAGATACCCAGATCAATCCTTGGAGTAATCCTGGGATATCCCAGGACCTGACTTCAATTTACAAAACCGATCCAAGTGACAAAGGCAACATGGTTCTGCACATAAACAAACATGTAAGAAATTGAAAAGAACACAGAACTCACAGGAAAGACATCTAATTTAGGTCAAAGAAGTACCCATGAAAGAAGAGAGCACACTGAACACACTGTATTGGCAAAGGGACAATCCACATGCAGAAAAATGACACCAGATCCATATCTCTCACCCTACACAGAAATCAGTTCAAACTAGATCAAGGACCTAACTGGAAAACTTGAGAGGCTGCAAGTCTTCAAGGAAGATATAATTTAATGTTTAATAATTCAGGAATAAGCAAACAGTAAAAGAGCTTCCAGAAGCACAGAAATTAAGCAGAAAAACAAAACAGAACTGACCATAGGATTTCATGGAGTAATGAACTGCAAGTACAGCAAAAGAAAATATCAAAAGAGTGCACGGAGACCAAGGGAGTGGGCTTTGACTCTCAGCATTGTGGTTCTCAACATGTGGGCTGCGACCCCTTCAGGAGTTGAACAACCATTTCACAGGGGTCGCCTAAGACCAATGGAAAAACAAATATTTACGATTCTTAACAGTAGCAAAATTACATTTATGAAGTAGCAATGAAAATAACTTCCTGGTTGGGATTCACCACAACAGGAGGAACTATGTGAAAGGGTCGCGGCACTAGGAAGGATGAGAACCACTGTCTTAGCAGGTTTTCTTTAGACATGGGGGCAATATATAAAATAGTACACAAATGGAAACACCTGGAGCCCAAGTCATCTAATATAAAAATGGTTCTACCAAAAAATTAAGGAGAGATGGCTAAGTAAGTAGTTAAAGGGCACTGGCTGGTCTTCCTGAAGACCTGGGTACAATTCCCATGGACACAAGTTACTCCAATTCAAGGGAATCCAACGACCTCTTCTGGCCTGTGTAGGCCTACACAGGCCAGAAGAGGTATACAGACATGCATGCAGACAAAATAGTCATACACAAAAAATAAACTAACAACTTCTTTTTAAAAATGAAAACAAAAGTTAAAGAGGGGTTGAGGACATGGCTCAGTGGCTAAGAGCACTGACTTCTCTTTCAGTTCCCAGGCTCACGTGATGGCTCATGACCATGTGTGACTGCAGTTCCCGGGCTCACATGATGGCTCATGACCATGTGTGACTGCAGTTCCAGGGAATCTGATGCCTCTTCTGACCCTCTTAAGTACTATACAGGTGTAACGTATACATACATATGTGTAAAATAAAGTAAATGAACATTTAAAAAATAAGCCAGGAGGTGATGGTGCACACCTTTAATCCTAGCATTCAAGAGGCAGAGGCAGGTGGATCTCTGTGAGTTTGATGTCAGCCTGGTTTACAGAGTGAGTTCCAGGACAGCAAGGGCTACACGCAGAGAAACCCTGTCTCGAAAAACCAAAAATAAATAAAATTAAAGGCACAATCATCAAAAGAAAAAGCACGAAATACTAATGTGTAAATATACTAACTTTTTAATTTTTAAAAAGAATTATTTATAAGCTGGGCGGTGGTGGCATACATCTTTAATCTCAGACCTCAGGAGGCAAAGGCAGGCGGAGCTCTGTAAATTAGAGGCCAGCCTGCTCTACAGAGTGAGTTCCAGGACAAGGTTGTTGTACAGAGAAACCCTGCCTCAAACAACAACTACAACAGCAAAATAATTATTTATTTCTATTTTATATGTAGGAACGATTGCCCTGCATGTGTGAATGTGTACCATTTGAGTGTTGGTGCCCATGAAGGTCAGAGTGCATCTGATACACTGGAACTGGAAATACAGATAGTTATAAGTTACCATGTAGGCTTTGGGAAACAAATCCAGGTACTCTGTAAAAGCAACAAGTGGATTTTTTGGGTTTTTTTTTTTGCCTTTCATTTAAAACAGATTTTTTTTTCTCCCATAATATATCCTGATTTCAGTTTCTCTTCCCTCTACTCCTCCAAGTTTCTTCCTATTTCGCTTCCCTTCTGGATCCATCCCCTTTCTGTCTCTCATTAGAAAACAAACAGGCTTCTAAGGGATAATAACAAAGTAAAAATATAATACAATAAGAAAAAACAAAAATGAACACACCAAAATTGGATAAAACAAACAGAAAGAAAAGAAGTCAAAAGAAGGTATAAGAAATAGAGGCCTGCTACTTTGCACACTCAGCGATCTCATAAAAATCACTAAACTGGAAGCCATGATGTAGGATGCCCTTCTGTATATGCCAAAGGCTTAGTTGAGTAAAATCAGGTGGCAAATCTGAACAGTGATATAGAGAAAGAATAGCTGGAATCAATGAGACACCATGTAGCTGCCAAAGGAGAAAGATGCTAGGACCTTACCGGTAAACCACAGCCTCAAGGCAATACAGAGATTAATAGAAATGTGTTAATTTAAAAATGTAAGAGCTAGCTAAGAATATGCCTGAGTCATTGGCCAAACAGTATTGTAATTAATATCGTTCTGTGTGCTTATTCGGGTCTGAGCAGCCAGGAAATAAAAGCGCATTTGTTGCCTACAGACGTGATATATACACAAAGGACCTGTAGGTTAAAAAGAGAGAAATGAAATAAATAAGAGAAAATTTAAAAAGAAGAAGAAGAAGAAAATTCCCCCTTTACCCTTCCTCCAAAGATGCCAATGAGTTCATTTTCTGTTGTCTATCCACTACTGGGCATGCAGAAAACTGTTCTTAACTTTTTAGCCATCTCTTCTCCCACTCCCTTTTTAAAGAAAGTGTTTATGATGCTTAGCCATGAGGTAATACAAACTCAAAACCAATAATACTCCCTATTCTCACCATATTTAGAATGGCTAAGGTGGAGAAGGTATAGTGGGTATGTATTTACTCCTATTACTCCAGACTAAAGGGTAGGTGGATTTCTATGACTCAGTACCAGTCTGGTCTATACAATGAGTTTGATGTCAGCTAGAACTGTGAGGCTGTCTCAGATAAGAACAAAGAAAAAGAAAAAAAATAACAACAAATGAGGACATGAAAAAGTGGAATCCTTATGCACTCCTCAAGGGACTAGGAAACAGGAAAAACAGTAGAATCAGAACCACCATATTACCAACCATACCAAGAGTGAGCAGTATACACAGCTCTCAATTCCTACCAAGGAGAGACGTGCAGGTTTATTGCTACACTGTTCAAAGGAGACAAGAAACGAACACAGCCTAGGTGTTCAGCATCAGAAAAGCGAATGGAATAAATTACAGGGTAGAATTTTATTTTGCTACAACAATTACAATCATGATCTTTCCATTAAAATCAAAAGAAGGATAAATTATATGAATTGAAGTAGTCCCTAAAAGGAAAGAAAAAACATGCATGTTTTCTCCCATGTACTGAGTCTATTTTTATACACATCAGTGTGAGTGTGACTCCAGGACAAGATTCCAGACCAGGGTTTCTCAACTTCTGGTTTGTGACAGCTTTGGGCAGTCAGTTACATATTAAGATATTTATATTACAATTCCTAACAGTAGCAAAATTACACTTATGAAGTAGCATCAACCTAATTTTATATT